AAGAGAAGAGAGAGTGAGAATGAGAGGTGTGTAGAAATGAGAGGATTTGAGGCCTATTTATAGGATTTTTCGCCCACCTACCACTACGGCCCGTTCCAAAATCGGAACGGCCCGTTCTGGGCCCTTCAAACCTACGTAAATTTTTCAACTGGAACGGCCCGTTCCCAAACCAGAATGGCCCGTTCTCAAACCCAGCAGAACGGCCCGTTCTCATTCCAGAACGGCCCGTTCTCCAAACCAGAACGGCCCGTTCTCCCATCAGAACGGCCCGTTCTGCTTCTACAATTTTGGCCATACTCACTATTCCAGAACGGCCCGTTTCAAAATTGAAACGGCCCGTTCTGGGCCACGAATTGGGCCTTTGGCCCACGAAAAATGGGCTGTTACAGGTAGCATGTGAGTTTTATTTTTCTAAGTCCTTTGTACTGAATATGTGAGTTGTTTTGGTTTAGGATTGTAGTAGGAAGCTTGGATATGAGTTTGAGGTGGAAAGGAGTGAGTTTGGAATGGTTGAGGTATTTTGTGGGATGTTAGTACACTATTGCTGTATGGTGTAGGGGATATTTTTGCTGCAGATTTTTTGTGCCAGTATGAGTATCGTATTGACATAATTAGATTTTGTGTTCTTCATGAAAGTTGTAGCCTTGGATGTTATCTTTCCAATGGAACTGGAATAAGATATAACGGAGGTCTAGAACTTCAGTTATAATTGCTTTAGTGATTAGAGGTCTAGCATTAAGTGTTGAATATATCTGTTTTAGTTTTTGAATTTTTAGCTAAGAAGATGATCTTTTTAGAATCTCATATCTTCACAAGAGTGGTAGATTATTCTCTTAGCTTTCTTTTGAGATTGGTTTGAGATCATTTGAATGAGTATAACTCTTTGTGTATCATTTTCCTTGACATTTATTGATGGGATATTTATGGTGTCATGATATTTTTGAGTTATTAGGCAATGCAAGGATAAAAATTGATTTGGTTATGATGTTTTGAGGCATTTTCATATGGATTTAAAGGTTGTTTAAGGTTGTATGATATTATATGGTAAGGTTGGTTCATGTACATGCTATATGGTGTAAACAGTGATTGATTCGTACATGCTTAGGGATGGTATATATCAAATGTTTAAAGTAGGTATTATAACATGATTTGATATGTGTATATATTAATACGAGGATATATGACCTTAGGGATCAATTATTGAATGTTTGTGTGTTTAGTGAGATCGACCTTAGGATGTGATATCATCATATTGGAAGTGAGGATGAAGATATATCCAAGATAGTTTTACGCTAAGTTATATAAGTATGATTTTCATTTATATGAAGTGGGTTTTCTAGGCCCTGTAATTTTTAGCGGAGGTATAACGTAGATCTACCTATGGTAGAAGTTGTGCTTAAGTGGGAGATACTTAAGTCAATTAGTGAGGTTAGGAGTTTTCTTGGGTTAGTTCTTTGTTATTGGAGATTTATTGAGGAAATTTCTAAGATAGCGTTACCTTTGACTTTGTCGACTAGGAAGAGTGTTGTCTTTGTGTGGGATAGTAAGTGTGAGAGTAGTTTCCAAATTCTTAAGCAAAGATCGACTAGTGCACCAGTGTTAGCATTGGTCGATCTTATTAAGTCTTTTGTAGTATATGTTGATGTTTCTAAGATGGGTTTGGGTAGAGTGTTGATGCAAGAAGGAAAGGTAGTAGCTTATGTTTCTAGGAAATTGAAAATTCATTAGAGGAATTTCCTTACCCATGACCTTGAGTTAGTGGTTGTAATATTTACACTAAGATTTGGAGACTGCTACCTATATGATTCTAAGCTTGAGGTATTTAGTGATTATAAGAGCCTTAAATATCTTTTGACCAAAGGAGTTGAATATGAGACAAAGGAGATAGTTGGAATTTCTTAAGGAATAAGATTTTGATCTTATTTGTATTTTGGGCAAAGCCAATGTGGTGGTCGATGTTTTGATTAGGAAACCTCTACATTTATCTTCCTTTATGATTAAAGAGTTTAACCTTTTGGTTCGGTCTAAGGATTTAAGTTTGACTTGTGAGATTACTCCTAGTAATGTGAAACTAGGTATGACTCGAGTAACAAGTGGATCGTTGAAAGAAATTGGAGAAACATAATTAGTTGATTCATTTTGGTGACAAGATATGAGGCTATAGGACATGGTAATGGATAAAAGTTGCCTTAAGTATAGATGGAGTGGTAAGAATTTGAGACCGAGTATGTGTAACTAGTGAACTTATGCTTAAGCACTTAATCTTTGGAGAGAGTCATAGAAGTAAAACTAATATTGTGGCAGATGCCTTGATTAGAATGACCATTCACTTATCATTTTTGATGATGTAAGGGTTAGATTTGATTGAGGAGGTTAGAGACTTAAGCATGATATGTGAACTCACCCTTAAGAGTATTGGATTGAGTATGTTGGAAAGGACTAATAGATTAATAGATGAGATTAGAGAGACTAGGAGTTAGATCCTTTCTTAGTGAACCAAGTGGAGAGGATTGGTAGGGGTATAGATATCCCTTTACGAGTGGAAGTTGATGGTGTTTTAGGGTTCAAGAATAGAATCTATGTGCCTAGTAATCTCGAATTTAGGAGGATGATCTTATAAAAATAACTATCATAAAATATCCCCTCAAACAAATACCATAAAATAACCTCATCAATAACTAAGTCATACAAGATACATCCCATGCTCATGAAGACAAGATTGGGACTTCCAAATTGAATTATCCCCAAGATTAGTTCCCAAGCTTTTACACAAGGGACCTTTCCTACCAATATATTCCATATTGTACCCTTTCAAAAACATTTTTATGCATATGATGCATGTCAATCAAAATCAATGCATTACATTCACATGACCTCATAGTTTCACATATCACATGTTTCTCATATCACATTACTCATCATTCATAGTCATATATTCATATATAGACATCATAGCCTATCTACATTAGTGTCACAAC